GTGTGTGTGTGTGTGTGTGTGTAAGTGGGGCCCCAGGCTCCTTTTCGTTTCAGATTTCGACTGAAAGTCTAAACTATAACTGAATCTCAATACTATGACATACATGAGTTAGCTTTATGTGGCTAAAGGGGCTTCTACACTAAATGCATTAGCAAAAACCTAGAATTAAAAGTCCCCACTCTGCTTACAGATTTTTGGGCAAATACATATTTTTCACATATCACATTGGCAATTTTCTCAGCTTTAATTTAAGTCATGTTTTATAGAAATAGGATAAGAAATGAGGGTGCTCCGAATATTTCTTTGTGACAGATTGATGTACATCCCTCATTGAAACTCTACTGTTTTGTTGACATGACTCAGTGAACAGTAGTGACTCCTATGGCGGTGTGTCGCTAGCTATAGCGGCTACAGGCGATGTCCAGTCCAGTAATCCAGATCAATGCTCTGAACAGAAACATGGTTTATGTTTTAACTTCAGTCAAATAAAGTTATTTTTGTGTTTTTGGACTGATGAAAGTGCAGACTGATACACGTAGCTCCTTACAAGATGGCCGACACAAACCTGGCCTGGTGGCATCAGCGGCCGGTCCAGAGTTTCTGCAGTTCAATCCTTTAAMGGGAACGACAAAGACAATATTCAGAACCAGAACCGTCTGGTTCCGCAGGAACCGGACCTTCACATCTATGAACAGGTCGGACAGCAGCGTCACTTTGATGAAAATCCTTCAAAACTCTGAGCAGAACCCGTGTCAGTCTTTAACGGAGTGTGTGTGTGTGTGTGTGTGTGTGTGTGTGTGTGTGTGTGTGTGTGTGTGTGTGTAAACTGGGTCCGGTTAGAACCCGGTGGAGTGGACGCTGGGGATGGGGTAGAATTTGGAGATGCGGCTCTGGTTAGATGGGTTAAGGCACTCTGAGTCGCCGCTCATCTTAAAGAACACTTCCTGTTCCTGCAGCTTCCTGGCGAACTCGTCCTCCAGCGCCTGCAGGACAAAAAAAAAAAGATGAATAAATAAAAGTTAATTCCTGTTTCAGCTCTGTGACTTGAGGTTTAAACGGTGCGGTGGGCCTCAGAACCAGGTGGTACCTTCTTCCTGGGTCGTAGTTTCTCCCTCCACTCCTTCAGCTCCATGCTGTGCTCCTCGTCCAGCTCCTTCAGCTTCTGGGTCTCGTGTTCTATCAGCAGGTGGCACTTCTCGTTCTGCGGCACAAACACAGGACAGAACCTTAACTTTGGCTCGTTAAACCCGGATCCKCTCTGAGGAACCTTCATTCCCTGGTTCGGACCTGCAGCTGCTGGAGTTCTCGRATGTTGGCGTCACACTGCAGCTGCAGGTCTCTCATCTGGTTCTCGTGTTTCTGGTGCTGATGGAGCCGCTCGTTCTTCTGCCTCTTCTCCTCCTGAGCTGCGAACTGAGACACAAAGGTCAGCTTTCAGTAGGACGCTGACTCTGCAGGCTCACCTGGCTGCAGCTGCTCACCTGTTTGACTTTCTCCCTCTCCTGCTCGGGGGTGATGGAGGCCGCTGTGATGCGGAGGCTCTTCTTGAACATGGCCATGCGGGTTTTGGCGTCGCTCCGCTGGATCTTGGGGAGTCTGGCTCTCTCCTGAGTCTGTTTGTTCTTCATCTCCTCGATGAGTCGCTGGTTGTAGCGCTGCATCTGTTCCATCTCCTGCAGACGACAAACAGCCCGACGCCTCAGAATAAACCACTGCTTATTAAGACTTTTATTATTTTCTATCTGCTTTAAAGATCGATCCTTTCATGGCTGATGTGATGTGTATATATAGCAGCCGAACCTTCTCGTGCCTCTTCAGCAGCTGATGTCTCTGCATGAAGTACTGATCCTTCAGCTGCTGCTTCAACAGCTGGTGTTTCTCCTGCAGGTGGCGCTCTTCCAACTCCCACATCGCTGCCTCACGAGCTGCGAAATGACACGACAGGAGAGGTGATGACAAAAAGAATTCTGTTTCAGCTTTTAGACTGTGGAATATTTCACTGCTTTTTTTTTTTTTTTTGATGGGAAGAAGCAGCCAAATCTCAGAAATCTATGGTGTGGTATTTGGGCCACAATTAAGACTATTGCACAAACCAGCGGTTGCTAGAGGTTAGCAACTAGCAAGGATAAGCTGGTGTTAGCATCAGAGAGGCTAGTGACTAGCATGGATAAGATGGTGTTAGCATCAGAGAGGCTAGCGACTAGCATGGATAAGCTGGTGTTAGCATCAGAGAGGCTAGTGACTAGCATGGATAAGATGGTGTTAGCATCAGAGAGGTTAGCAACTAGCATGGATAATATGGTGTTAGCATCAGAGAGGTTAGCAACTAGCATGGATAATAAGGTGTTAGCATCAGAGGTTAGTGACTAGCACGGATAAGATGGTGTTAGCATCAGAGGTTAGTGACTAGCATNGGATAAGATGGTGTTAGCATCAGAGGTTAGTGACTAGCATGGATAAGCTGGCTCCTGGACTGAACCGGTCCTCAGGTGTTTGTATTGAGGTTCTGGGTGAACCCCAGCAGTTCTTACCTCTCAGCAGTTGCTGTTTGTGGTTCAGACAGTCCCTCTCGATGGTGGCCAGCTCCAGTTTGTGCTGCTGGATGATTTTCTTCAGAGCAGAGTCAAGGTCCTGCTGCTGCTTCTGCAGGAACTCCTGCTCCTGAATGAAACCAGACTCAAACTCAGCTTCTTATTTAAAAGCACAGACCTGCTCAGACCCAGTCTGTGGTTCCAGGTGAACCCGGGTCTGAGGACAGATCAGGAGGAATTAACTGGGACTGATTTAGCACCGGTCCAGTTCAGCAAAGGTTACACAAACAGATCAGAGGGGCTGTGCCAAAGACTAAAGATAAAACTGTTTGGACGAACCTCTTTCTTGCGGTTCTTCATGGTGTTCTGGTACTTGGACAGTTCTTTGTCCTGCTCGGCTTTGATTCGTTTGGCCTCGTCTCGGAGCCGGTTGGTGTGCTCCTGCTCCAGCCTCTCGATTGTCTGCTTCTGCTGGCGCTCCAGGTTCTCCACCTCCTGGTCGTACTGCCGCTTCTTACCCTGAGGGGCAGAGGAGTCAGTGTCAGTCTGACCCGGTCCAGGACCTCAATTAAATATCTGAGGTAGGGGGACTCACCGTGGTCTCCTGTTCAAAGCGGCGGTAGATGTGCTCCTTCTGCTGCTGCAGCTTGTTGCTGAGCTGCTGCTGCGCCCTCTGCTCCTCCTTCTGCAGGAGGCGCARCTCCCTCAGCTCCTGCCTCCTGCTCACAAGAAAAACACGTTCATTTCATAAAAACTCGTTAATTTAAATAAAATTGTTAATTTAATTAAAACATGCTAATTTAATAAAAACATATTAAATTAAATAAACTCGTAACTAAAAATAAAAACATGTTAAATTAAACAAACTCGTAAATAAAAACAAGTTAAATTAAACAAACTCGT